CAAAAGATGTGACCCCATGATTTTTGTGATGATGAATGAGGAAAATTTCAGAGATTCTAAATTGTCTATTATTTTATATTTATTTGAAATTGGTAAGATTACAGAATCTCCGATTTTCACACGACATTGTAATCTGCAGAGGTCATATCTTTTTGCAAAGCGCAATAATATATCATTATTATTGTATGATTTACTAAAAATTTCCATGTAATTTTTTACAAGATTATTGGTCTAATGGGTGAGTATAAATTTCTTATTAATCAAAGTAGTTAACGTTAATATAAACTATTTAAATTCATAGATATATAGTTATTATTATAAATATCTTAGAACTTTAATTTAATCGCTGGTGTTCATAGTACAGTCTATGCTGTCTAATTGCATGCCATCCGTCAGAGACATTTTTACACACATAGACAGTACATGCATTTATAATAAGTCATAAGAACCATTTTCGTGCCAATAATCAAAAATCAAAATTTTCATGCGTTTAGAGAGTATATGCACAAATTAGACAGTATGCAATTAAACAGTAGCGGTCACGAATCAAAAATCGATTCATTTGAAAAGTTGGCCAACTTAGCAACTAATCAATTTAAAACTTTAGATGATCATCTAAAAAATGTAAAAGCTATTAGCAAAGCTGTTAAAGATTATTAAATCTATAAATTTAATACGTAAGAATTTATCATCACAAACACTTAATTACTGTATGTATACGAGCAAGGTTGACTATTTTTTAAAGTTATTAATACTCGAATTGAATTCTTTTTATTATCAAAATGTACACTTTATTCGTTTCTTCACAATCTTTATTATATTATTATTCGTATGCTTTCATTTTGTTTATAATATATATATATTTATAAATTATGAAATTTTAACTTCTCAGAATAATAGTAACTCATAAAAATTAGAAAGTTTTTAATTAAACATCATAATAATGAAAAAAACAATTTGCTTTAGAGATTTGGGTAATGAGTCATGAATAACTGTCAAATATTTATAGCTAATAAAATAGCTATATATTGTAAAAATTTATAAAAAAAAAATTAAAAAGAAGCTTTTCCATAGCCTACGCTAAGTCATAACACGAAAAAAGAATAATGCTAGTGCTCTCCCCAACTCTATTCATCAAAAGAAGTTCTCTTTTAAAAGCTAAGTTGGGTTATACGATACATACTCTCGAAATTATAGTACGTAGCAAATGTCCTCTCATAAAAATAAAATATATTTCTATTTATTTACAATTCACAAAAGAAAATAGAAAAATCTACAAACCACGGAATAATTGACGATGCTAAAAATTTTAATCAGTGATTGTCCTATGATAATAATC